TGGGTACAAGGACCTTTGGTATATGGTGGTAAAGTATGGTAGGAGGGTAAGAGTGTTGTGGCTCTAGGATTAGGACTCAGTCTTTTAGTGAGCCTGTGCCCTTGGGCTGTGAACTTCACTAGTGCCTCTCAGGTCTTTTCTATCCTCACAGATTATACAGGATGGCTAGAGGGGTGTGGAGTTGGGTATTTCTCTTCTCCCAGATAGGATGGGCTCTGATAAAACTCCCAAAGGTTAGGGGCTGATAAAATACTTTCTCTTAAGGACAGGTCTTTAGAATAGAATGCTGTGGTATATTTCATTGTGGTTACTTTACCCCCTCCCCTTGCCAGATGGCTCCTGGACAGAAGTGTGTCTGCTCACACCATGACTGGATTCCCTCTGGAGTTTTTAACTCTTAGACTTGTTCACACTGAGCCTACAGCCAATTTTCCATTATAATTTTGGTTTTCCTGCTCTGGTACTGGTTCCCACAGAGGTGTCTTCTCTGTTAGGTTATGATTCTCTGTATCTGCCTTCCCATATCCAATATTTGGTTACAAGGGCAGTAATTTGCCCTGTGACCTCACTTCTTTCTTTTTTCTTCAAATTTTAATGTGTTTATTTCTACAATTTGTTATTAAAAGATTGTGAAAAAAGGAATCCTATAAATAGTAAAAAAAAAAGGGGGGGGGGAACAATAGTGCTTCATGGCCGGAAGCAAATAGTGTCAATGTGTTTGTAAACAAGGTCAAGTTGCTCAGACTATTAAAAGGACAAAAATAAAACTAGTTACAGATAGCACAACTGTTCAAGAGGCTGGGAGTGTGGATTTTTGGTGCCCTAAAATGGCCAGCAGAATACTTAATTCTCCATTGCGGAGCCTGGGTCACCAGTGCCATCTCGCTCTCCCTATAGAAAACCACACCAGAGGAAGCAAGCACTGTCTCTCTCCTGCTAGAGGGAGAGTCGGTTCTGAGAACAGGGCCACCAATAACACAGCTAGAACCACCAGCTCTCTGGAACATTAGGTGTGAGAGAATTTGAAACAGTCAACATTTTCCTCTACTTTTGCAGGAAAATACTGGAAGTAAATAGGGACATGGAGTTCAACAGCTGGCCAGGGGAGAGGTGTTTTACATTCAGTAGTTTGGAAGCATACTGATTCAGTGCCTCTGACTCTTCTGGTTAGAAAATACAGCATTATCCTACCACCTCTTATACTATGACCAAAAAAGTCACTTGAGGGTAATATAGGTTTTGCATTAAAGGTGAATCTGCAACAAGAAATCTGCTCAACTCACAGATCTGGGGACTCACAGGGAAGATAAGCTGTAAGTGAGAATATGTCACTGAGAAATGCAGGTGTGAAGTTCTTAGTGGATGTTGCCGGAGTAAACCAGATGTGACTACTGGGCAAGGGGAGGAAAGAAAATCTTGTCCTCTGCATGCATAGTTATGTCCTGGGATGATCCCCCAACTCTGGAAAATTGATTTAATTTTCGCAACGAATTAATCAGGCAGGGCAGCTCACTTAAAAAAGTAGCTCGTCTCTCTAAACCTAGTTTTTGACCAATGACTTGAACTAAAAACAATTCAAACCACTGGGTCATTGCAGTCCATGAGTTAAAACTATAACAAGGAGCAAAGGGCATAAGGACATAAGTGGAAAGCAAGCCCTGTTTACCCAAGGCGAAGGTGATGAGGGGAGAAAACCTCTCATTGTATTTTGTATAGGATGGGAACAAAGGAAGAATATTTTCATTATGGCTTTAGGATGGAAGCGCTTCAGATAGTCCCCTGCTCCCCTCCCCCCAAATCAAAACCCTGGTGGCAGTGACAAAGCCAGAAAACAACCTAGCCTCCCCCGCCCCCATAACCGTGCCCCGGTGGCTGCGGTCCAGTTGCCCGCGCTTCCCAAGGCTCCCGATGAAGCACACCAGCCCACTTCAGTAGATCCAATGCCCAGGTGGCCTGGGGGTAGGGCGAGAGCCCTTGTGGTGGGTTGCTGGCAGCCAGGCCCAGATCTGAGTAGGGCAAGTCTTCAGCTCCCCTCTCCTGGGCGCCTGCGGCTCAAGAGACGACCTTGGGACCTGGATAGGGCTCCCTCTTTCACCAGAAGCCATCGGCTTGAGGGGTCTCCGGGAGCCACACCTCTCGGGGCAAGTCCCAGGTCGATCCGGAGGCCTCCTTGGCCCTGACGGGGAGCCCCCTGTAATAGTGGCAGTCCCGGTCGTCGTTGGGGTCGTAGGGCGGGGCCAGAATGTCCAGGAAGGCAGCGGGCCAGTCCACAGCATCGATCTGGTGCAGGTTGTCCCAGTGCGGCGTGAGCATGCAGGGGCCGCTGGCGAGCTGAGCACGCCAGGCCGGACAGTGTCCCGCTCGCGGGGCTGCAGCGGCAGCTCGAACTGCTGCTCCGGCAGCGGGGCCCGCTGTCATTGCCCACCCGCCTCCAGCTTGTCCGTGCAGCTGATACGCATGGTGCCGGTGCCGTAGAGCACCTTGAGCATGCCGTGCATGCCCGGGTGGTCGTGCAGCGGGATGGACGTGCCGCTCTTGAGCAGGAACACGCCCAGGCCGAAGCCATCCATCTCGTAGATGTGCATGTAGGTAACGGGTGGCAGGTTGGGTGGCCTTGCGCGGGGCGCTATTCAGGTCCTCTGCACGGACCTGGGTTAGCAGGCTCTTCAGCTTTCTCAGGTTCTCCGGGAAGCCCTGCGGCATCAGCGCCTCAGGTCCTGGCACCACGCCACGATGGGAAGCGCTGCGTCCACCCCCGTGGCCTTGGAAGGTGAGGCAGGCCTGGCAGGCGATCCGCTGGATCAGGGAGGCCACGTTGTCTCCAGGTATGCATGGCGGTTCCTCCAAGTACCGAGGCCGGCCCCCTCCTTTCCTCCACCCCTTGCGGTTATCTGCGGCCCCCACGGCTGTGAGCACCCCGGGCGGGAGGCCCCGCGGCCACTAACCTCTACGGCCGGTGCTCCTGCCTCACGCCCCCTCCGAGCAAGCGCGTGCCCAGCCCATGCCCGGCACTCGCGATCCAGGAGCAGGTACCGGCCCGGTGGGCCGTGGGGGGCTGTGCCTTATCCGAGGCTCCAATGATGCGGCCCGTACCTATGATTATGGACAGGCGCCGTGACCTCACTTCTTTGATTAAACCAAAGGTTGTCAATTTTTCAGTTTGTTCAGCATTTTATTTGTTGTTAGGATGGAGTGATGAAGCTGGACCACAATCTGGAAGGGTCTGAGATACTACCTTTGAGCTCTAAACTTTCAAGACTTCTTCCTTCATAAAACTGATAAGATTTTAATGCAGAAAGTCTGACCCTAAGACTGATAGTTAGATGTATAATAAAACTTTCCTTTCATTTATTTTAAGGGAAAACAGCTTCATAAAAATAAGTGAACTTAGTAAACTAAAAAGGACTTATAGCCTAAAACCTAAACCTATTGCTGTAGAATATCCATTTCTTTGGGATTAGGCAAGACACTTCCCCAGTACCAGTATAGGCTATAAATAGTGTGATTAAAAGTGATAAGATTGATTTCTGCATGTGGTTGAGAGTTTAGATTTCTATATAATGAATTAAGTATGATTTATAGAGAAACTGCAGCTCTATTTCTTTCAATTATCCAGAGTACATGCTGTTTTGAGGATTTCTTTAGTATGAATGTAGTGAGTGTGTGTGTGTGTGTGTGTGTGTTCGAGACAGAGAGAAAGAAACTGAAAGAGTACAAGAATATACAACCCCCCAAATAGAAACATGGAAGCATATTTTTCTATAAATTTCTCTAAAATGGTAAAATCAAAACTGAAAGACAACAACGGAGGAAATGGGTTATAGATCTAAGTAAGTTTGTAATTTCAATACTGTTGTTATAAAACTCGTCAATTATTTCATGAGAGAACAGCAGTCCTCAATCTCAATGGAAAACCTTTGGTGACCAATACATTTTTCTCTCTTCCATAAGCCTTGGCCTTACTCCTAAAAACTGCTCTATAGAAACTGTCCACTAAATAGGGTCATGGAAACATGCAGGTAAGACCTACATGCAGAAATTATATTTACAAAGAAGTCCAATCACTTACACTGGCAGATATTTTAGTTTAGTTTAGATTCAGGACCTTAAAAATAGTAATGTTAATTAAAAAGCAACTTTTATTAATGAAAAGTCAATGAATAAAATTTGCTTTCAAAAGTTTAAAGTTACAAAGCAACAAATTAAGAAATTAAAAGTTTAAAACTTCAATTGCTTATCCTCATATTTTAAAATAATTCTTGTTTTCTATAGGCTTTCTATTTTTGGAGGTCAAAATCTCTCTCTTTTAAGTTTAATCATATGGAACATCTAGGAAAAAAATCAAGAAAATCTCACACATATTTGGTGACAATGAGATACTTTAAACTGTTAGTATGAAAGCAAGTTTTATATAACTATTTACAAGGCAACAGATGTTTTAAAAATTGCAGCCTAATGTAATAACTGTAATATTGCCAGAAATATAATATTTATTTTACTAACTTAAAAATAAATGTGGCTGGCCGGTGTGGCTCAGTGGTTGAGTGTTGACCCATGAACCAAGAGGTTTAGTTTGATTCCCGCTCAGGGCACATGCCTGGGTTGTAGGCTCGATCCTCTTTTGGGGGTGTGCAGGAGATAGCTGATTAATGTTTTTCTCTCATTATGTTTCTATCTCTCTATCCCTCTCCCTTCCCCACTCTCTAAAAAAAAAAAAAAAAAAAAACATTAAAAAAATAAATGTGAAAAGTAGGTTTTAAATAAAAGTTTAATCAATGCTATTTCTAATCTATGCAATTTAACATTAAAAGTTATAAAAACATAAAAATATAAATCTCTTAAGCAATTATTCTTTTGACAGATTCAAGGAAAAATTTTCTTTTTGTCCACATATTGACTCTAATCAAGCTGATAATCTCATCTGGGAGTACATAGATTTAACAATGGTATTGTTGGCTTGTGGTTTAATATTTATCAAACACATTTCTTATTTTACATACCATTTGTAATACACTTATTCAATCTTCCTTGTGGAGGAAAAGCATTTTTTGTCACCTGTGGTTTTGTTTCCTCTGTTTCTAAAACGACAATTTCCTTAGTTTCTTCATTTTCTCCAGTATTATCATCTTTGAGGATCTGAAGTAAAACAAAGGAATATTTTAAGAAATTTACTTTCCATACAAATTTATGAAGGTATAAAACCACCAAATCTCATAATTAAACTCGTATTATTACTGTCAACATGGAGAATTATACACACAAAAGACTATTCATGCTCTATATCAATATATGATATTGACATATGGGGATGTCATAGGTGTACATTTTATTTTGCAGGATACCTTGACTTAGCCTTTTATAGACTTCAGGCCTGTCATTTTCATTTGTGATTTATATATATGAATAAGTGGGCCTATAGTGTGGATAGAGTAATTAAAAGTGTCCCTCCTCAATTTAATTCCCAAAGATTATCAAACTAACTTCTGTGGAATAAAAATACAACTAGCCCTAACTGGTTTGGCTCAGTGGATAGAGCGTCGGCCTGCGGACTGAAAGGTCCCAGGTTCGATTCTGGTCAAGGGCATGTACCTTGGTTGCGGGCACATCCCCAGTAGGAGATGTGCAGGAGGCAGCTGATCGATGTTTCTCTCTCATCGATGTTTCTAACTATCCCTCTCCTTCCTCTCTGTAAAAAATCAATAAAATACATATTTAAAAAAAAATACAACTAAATTGGAAAGGAGATAAAATATAATTTAACATGGACTGATTTCATTTGAAAAATTATGTAACTGAAGGAAAAATTTAAAAAAAAAAACAGATCAAGCCTTCAGAAGGTGAAGGTTCAAGCTTCCACTATTATTTATAGATAACATATTCAGATAGTTCAGGGGTATACTTCAATCTTCCAGACTTTTAATAGTAGTTAGTCTAATTATGAAACTGCTGGTTTAGGGAGAAAACAGTTCATGAGAATACTGAAAAGCTTTTCCCAAGGTAAAAAACAAAATTTTTTAAATAAAAAAAGAGTCAAGTTAACCCTAGAACAGAGATCTTCAAATTTGCCTTACTGTCCTCATGATATGTATATATATATATGTGTGTGTGTATGTGTGTATGTGTGTGTGTGTGTGTGTGTGTGTGTATTGATAATACTTTGGGTCTTTGAGTGCATGGAAGAGAGAACATCACATTGTCACAAGAAATGGTAATGAAGGCTAGAGAGCATGGACAGAATAAGGGAAGGAAGAGGAAACATTTAATGGCTAGGGGAACAGGGGCACCATAGCAGCTGATGTAAACAAATTATGTAGCTCTTTAAGATCAAAGTTCTTTAAATCGAATCACGATTAAATCTGTTTGAGTTCCCATGTAGAGATCTTTTTTTAAAAGTCTATCACTATACAAAAGGGCCAAGGTAAAGACACAAAGATGAATTTTGATTAGGATAAGTAAAAGGTCATATACAGTAAAACCATATTTCTTTAAATTTTATTATTTCAGAATTTATAACAAATTGACATAAACTAAGATGAAGTCTTTTTTTGAAAATAATATATAAATTTATTAATAAATAAACAGTAACAAAAGGATATAACAACAACAGAGGCATGATCTAAAAACGACAAAAACATGATATGAAAACAACAAAAACATGATATGAAAACAACAGTGATGCAAACAATGATTGATAAAGTGATTAAACTTAATCTAATATCTCCCTGTACACCACATTAAGAGTGACAACACTTTCAGAGTGCTTGACTAATTTCCCTTGTGATGAAGTATTTAGAACTTTAACT